TCGGATTGGTGTTTTGTTTGGGTGTCCCCAAGAGGCCCATCGCGCGGCGAAGGACGAGTCGCAGCGCGTGCTGTGCGATATGAGACGTAGTATGGTACACTCTATTTAACCTGACGCCTAACCGCTACAGTATGCGCTGCGACTCGTCCTTTGCCGCGTCTGCGTCTCTTCCTTCGCCGCGCGATGGGCCTCTTGGGGGACACCCTTTGATTTGCTCGAACATTAGGCAAGAAGTGCAAAGAGGAATTTTTGGTGAGGAAAAAAGCAAAAAGCACCATAGAAAACACTAAATTTCCCTTGTGAGGCCGGCCGTGGTATGACGGAGAGACACAGCGCTGCGAGGAGAGGGAAAACGCGAGAGAGTACGTCGTAGAGGGCGCAGACGCCACGTATGCCGCGATTGATAAGGATGGCAGCACGGCAGCACACAAGGCAAGGCCTTAGCGCCGTTGCCTCGCACTTTTGAGTCGCGACAGTGTCGTGCCTCCTGCCTTGGGACCCCTCTTTTTCACTCTAGAAGGGACTGGCTCTTGGACCTGTTCCCGAACGTGGTTTAAAGGCGGATTTACGATGAAAAGGTAGCTCATTGGAAATAAGGGTAGAGGTGGTCAGTGAAGCAGGGATGAAGAAGAAACCATGAGAAACGGCCCGGAACCCGAGAAATGGGACCCCTTCCTTGCCCGTTGATTTCCGCATTGATGCGACTCTCATCGTGCCCTCTTCAACGCTAACGCTCTCTCTGCTATGTCGGTGGGCGTTCCGAACCTAAGGGAAGGCCATGCTAGATTGCCAGGGCCTATCTTCGATGTGGATTGCGCGTTGGTCCGCACCTTACAAGGGAGGTCGTTCAGGGTGTGGAAAGCTTTTTCAAAACGGTTTTTTGCATGTTATAGGGAGCTCATGCGTGGACTACAAAACCGAGGTCCATTTTCGCTGAGCGGCCCCGCGAAGGCCAAAAAAAGGTGAGGAAATGGTCCAAGGTTCAATCCCTCGTAATGACAAAATTTTTGCATTTAGGTTGGAGCTTCCAAATTTGCTCTAAAATAGCGCCAGCGCCAGAATAGATAAATATTCATTATAAAGACCATCAGTAAGTATTGCTTTCAGATTTTTACCGTAATCTGGCGAAAAAAGTTGTCGCGCAAAAAAGAGCGCCAATGGCGCCGAAGTGGCTTAAATTGGAGCTATCGGAAAAAATGGATGTCTCATTCGTAATCAGGGCACTCGCCTGTCTCCCACTCAGGTAAAGTTCCCTCTTCACCCCTCATTCTTTATCGTGTAATCCTGCCTTGTCAAGGAGGCGGGATTGAAAAAAGGTCTGACGATATAGGTCAGTCGCGCTAGGGAAAATTCAAGCAGTAACGAACTTGAAACTGAAATTGAACCTCGATTAACCAAGCTCTACCTGGGATGTTTACAAGAGGTATGGTTTGCTCATGGACTGAATCCCACACGCATAAACTTCTATACCACATAATACACAACGAACTACAAATTTGAACGGATTCGAAAGCATGGCGCACCTCCAAAAAAAGACTCAGAAATTGATTTATCGATTGCATGAGAAGTTAATTTGACTAATATTTGGGAAAATACTTCATTTACTATCTCCGACTTAGACTCACCTCGGCAGCATTTTGCTCAATAAAAGGTCAGCTTTCTTCTTTTGCTCTGTCAGCTCTTTCGTACGGTCACGCGTATTCTAAGAACACCTTAGATATTTCCGCCAAAGGAAAAAAATTTAAAATTGTTCGGAGCAACTGGCCTACTTCTTGTTTCAAAGTGGTACATGTGTATTCTTCCATTATAGAGAAAAACCATTGATCCATGAGATTAGGAATTCCTGGCTCTGCTTTCAGACAGCACATTTGGAGTTCTTGCCAAATAAAATCAGTTGTTGTGTTCGATTCACACGGTTTTTCTCCCTCAAGCAGTTTCGAGACACGTCTTACCTTAACACATTGGCCATAGCCTCTCTGTGATTGACTCGTGGGACGCGTTACCGCGTCACAATGTCCCACAAGGCAAAGCTGAGAACGCGTTACGCGACCGTTATTAAATACCAAATATGAATAAATAACTAAATAAATAGGTAAATAAATTAATAAATAATAAAACAGCATTGTAATAAAATTTGCGATCAACATTGAAAAAATTCTTTTATTTGGCAATAGCTAAAACGCCTCTGTTTTCCATTATAGAGACCTTCACACTAATGTATGATGAACCTATGTAGGAGTAGTTTTGTCTTGATCTTTCCGCCCTGTCCATGCTACTTTCAAATTTTTAGGCACTGGCGAAATAGAGATCCAACTGCAATAGTGCTGATAAATGGCTAATCGATGATTCTTTAAAGGCAACGAGTTGCGGTCGAATTGGTGTTGTTTTGTTGGAAACTAGACAAGAAATCACAAGGAGATACACCGAGCGGGAATAAAAGCAAAAAACAACCAGCAAAACACGCTAAATCCCCTTGGTAAGTCGATCGTGGTGTTGACGGGAGGACTCTCCGCTTGCGAGAGAGGGCAAATACGAAATAGCACGCCGTACGCGAGAGGAACCAGACGCCGACGTATATTGCGAATTATAGGGATGGCAGCGTCGCAGCGGTTGAGTCCAAGCTAAGCTTCCTAATTGCCCAAGCTGTTGCGATGCCATCACCTCTGATCCTGAGTTAGGGACCTTCTGCCACTCACTCAAAGGAAACTTCCTCAAAAGGTTTTGGGATCCTTAAAGCGAGAGATTACGATAAAGTGCGTATGCAGCGTGGAAGTACATGCACCATTGGAAGCAGTAGTCAGGGGCCCAAGGAAACGAAATGTTGCGTTTTTGTGGTCAAAGGTGCGCTAGTTGCAGCGTACAAGGCTTGCCATTCCTTTCTGAGCCCCGCCACGGTCTGTGCTCCGCCCCCAGCAGCAGCGATCAATCAAAGCATGATGCTTGCTGAAATGATAGAGGCTATCAGCATAACATGTGCAAACGACCTCCTAATTGGTTGCTAGCTCGTCCATTATCGGAGGTCAACGGGCAAAGAAAGGGGTCCCATTTTGCGCCTTCTTGACGGATTTCTTTGCTTTTTTCGCCACTGGGGCATTATTCAGCATCTCCACTTCCACTATGAACCCAGTCCAAACTTATCGTAATCCCTCGCTTTAAGCCGTTCTCATGTGTCTCTGCTTACCTTCCTTCTACTCAATTTTCAGTTAATATACATTCTCCATATGTAAACAGAAATACACCCCCTGCTTTTTGTCCTCAAATTTTGCTCTTAGGTATACGCTGTAAGGGAGGCTTAGTGGCATGCAGAGAGTCCTACCTAGGCTGCGCAAGCATTTCATACCGGCCGGGATTAGCTGGTGAGCAAGCTTGTCCGAGAGGATAAGGGGGTTGAGAATGGGTTGTGCATTGATTAGCTGCTAAAACCATGAGTAGATTTCGCATCCGACTGTAAATCTAAATGGAGGTCGAACGTATGGCGCATCCTGCGAGGGAAGGTGTCGTACCCAATTAAAATGGTATTGAACGGACATGTGAGTAAAGGTGCGTGGGGCATCTCCAGTGATACACTTCGCTTCCAGGTTGAGGACTGAACACCGCAACGGCCTCAAACCGGGTCACAGCTTTGAGATGACAATTTTTTAGAGGTAGCGATCAGTGCTCCTGATTCTCGAGAATGCTAGTTTGTGAACAACACTTTTGCCTCAGGCGGGATTAGAGAACCCGCATCTCTTGCTTTCCGGCAAGCCGCCGCGCTACCCCAGCATTTTGTGAAACTGGCGCGCAAAAGCAACAGCTAACGAGTCTTTCTATTCTGTTTCCTTGCAGAAGAATCGAGAAGAACAAATCCTTCATCTATGCCCATGGCAATTATTCCGGTGAAAGCTAGGAGTTAACTAATCGATTATTTTGATAAGCAGGAACGATGCCAAATTTGAAAGTGAAGAGCTCTTGGAATAGTTCACCAGTTCAGCAGGTGTGCTCACTGTCTCAGTCAGCAGCGATGGTCGCAACGGATTTGACCCTCCTCTTTTAATAGCGGCGATGATATCTGAAGTCATGAAACCGCAATTCTATAGATTCAAAATATGATAAGTGATACTTCAGACCTTCAATATCCTCGTTTTCGCCATAAATGCTCCATGCAGGAGTTTTCCTGATTACTTCTGATGCAACTATCGCAAACGAATAGATGTCGGCAGATTTTGATGGCCCTTGCTGAGGTGAATTCATCAATTCGGGTGCCATCCATATTTTGTCTGAAAAACAAATGTTTGAGTTCAGCTTTTACCATTTTCACTCTCTCCCCTTTTTCATTTCCTTTATGTAATTCATGATAATATCCTCGTAGTGTCATATACCACGGAAACGTAGACTTGGTGTCATTCATGAATAAATAAAAATACAAACACAGTAAGGCTGGATAGTCTTACGTTGATCAGCAACTCGAACAAGCTCGGAAAGTCCGCAGTCACATACTTTAACTTGAAATGAGTCTGTTACAAGGCAGCTAGCTGATGTGAGACGACCATGACAACCGAGAAAGGAGTGGTGTATATAATTGAGACCCTGCAAAATTCAAAGAAAAGAATCTTGTGGATGAAATCGAAATTAAAGTGGTAACAGTTCTGCACGGAAAGTTGGAATGAAAATGTGAAATCGCACACTAGTCGCAGCCAAATCGAGAGTGAATTGGGAGTGAATTCAGGAGTGCGCGCCTCTATAGCTCAGTGGCAGAGCGTCTGTCTCGTAAACAGAAGGTCTGCGGTTCAATCCCGCATGGAGGCAACGTTTTGCAAAGCGAGCGATGGCGTTGGCCAGGGAGAGATCTTGGCCCCTGCTGATAAAACCTGCTCGGTTTCGATCACATGGAGCAGAGACATCATTTCGAGCTAAATCGAAAGTGAATTGGGAGTGAATTCAGGAGTGCGCGCCTCTATAGCTCAGTGGCAGAGCGTCTGTCTCGTAAACAGAAGGTCTGCGGTTCAATCCCGCATGGAGGCA